GGAATCATTTATTTACAGACCTTCTGGAGCCATACATTGAACACCACACGCTGCAGCCGAGCATTGATGTCTCACACACTGGATGCAGCCTTGCGCTTTTTTGCGAGTGGTACATTTTTGTACCACACTGTATAGTGTTTTCTTGCTCCCATGTCCTCTTGATGGCTGCGTTGCATACATGAGGGTTAAAAGCACTCATAATTATATGACAGTGTTATTAGTACACCAGCATATCATTATTGTAGAAAATGATTAAGGTGGACTCATGATAAGAATAGAGAGAATCACACACTATTTATTTTCACTGCTTCAATTGATTGAATTTCTGATTATGAATAATACATACACACTGATCCGCCCATACACAGATTCACACACACATATTCAAACTCCTAGTTCTATATGGTAATCTACACAGACATGTATATACACATATATAGTAGGCTACATGATACATACGCGCATACAGTACATACAGTATATCCTCATATTAATGAGTATCAATTAGATACTCTTTGGGCTTGTTTTATCTACTTATTCTGAAAGAGTTGAGATAATTATTTTCGCTATATCTATAGCCATTAAGCCTACTGCCAGCAGTCACATTTAAAGACATATAATCTGATTGATTGGGGTGATGAGGCATTAAAATTAGCCGATACATTTCCCAACACTTAGGCATTTAACTTGTCTGTGATATTTTGCCGTGCTTGTCTAGCCCTCGCAGCGGTGGCGGTGTTAGATTTAGCCGTGATTATGGTCTTGAATTCCTCATATGCGTTCATGATCATCTCCTGCTCGTCAGCGGAGTAAAAAGAGGCTCTTTCTTTGAGTTTATTTAACATTGTACTGTTAGAAAATCATGGTTTTGGTGATCGACGCTTCCCCCTTTTGAAGTAGGAAGAAAAATATAGAGTATTGCCAGACTTGACAGTCTTAAGGTGGACAGGAAAAGAACACACGTTTGAACTAGTAAGCCTGTAGAGATGGAAGTGGTAAGTTAGTGACTGCTCCACATCCAGTCACTTCAGTTACAGTACTTTTGTACAAGAGCAATGAGTTCCTCGCCCTGGCTTGAAACTGATTCGAGAAGAATGCAGTATTCTGTGAATAAGTGTTTATGAATGCATCTGGAAAAGAACAATCCCCGACCCCGTCACGAAACATCTGCATTCCTTTATTTTAAAAAAGTCCCTAATACAGATCCTAATAATACTCTTCATGATTTTAAGTGGACTTCCTTAATGTTAATGTTACAGATCTGCACTGTCATCACCATGATGTAATTGAGGAAGGGTATATTTAGTAGCTGTTGTAAGACAGATGAGTCACGCTAATCTTTCTACTATTTTGAGACTTCATATTATGAGAACTTATTAGAGATACTCAAGGAGGTTAAAACTTGAATTACTTAATTGGACATTGAAAGCCATTAATTATATTTTATGTTATTATGTTATCCTTGAAATCATTCTGATTATGTATGTTTCCTTTGTGAAAACATGAAAACATACCGCTGAAAATTGGTGCAGTGTTGTTTTTATCATTTAGTTATTGTCACCTGGTTAGATCAGAGTTGTTTTTTTGTTTTTACTTTATGCATGCTGACACTTACTACTGCAAACATGACAAATTTGCTGTAAACAGTTGTTTGAGAGCCTGCTGTTTATTTGTTGCTGGAAAACATGGACAACCTGCTCACATCCAGCTGCCCACAGACAATTAACTTATGATGGTATTCATAAATTTACCTAGCCATAAACACATACTGCACTATAGTTGTCATGATGATTGTTGTCAACATAAATCATTTTAAAACACTGACATTGAATGTTATAAAACTCTTTGAAGAAATGCATTTTAATTTGTCCACTTGAAGATTGTTTAGGACTTCTTCCATAAAGTAAAAGAAGAACAATAATTAACTGTTTGTGGTGCTAATTCTTCTGTTAGGTGCCATTAAACCATTGCAGAAGATGTGTCAGCGAGAAGACATGATAAAAAGAGTGCCATAAAGCAATCACTGAATAAGCACATGACCCCATCTAAGTCAACACATTCACATTCAGTAGTTTTCCTATTGGACTTGTGTAGAAGCTAAAGAGTGGGACAACGCAACACATTGCTGTCAGATTCTGCATTTAAACAGTTATCTGGCAAAATGTGGCACTTGTTAACTCAGTTGCATTATCACTTTTTTTCTCCCAAATTTGTGTGAAATGCAAATGTCACAAAAAAATACAATCATTGATGAATATTTGTAGTCAGTTCAGTTTCTACTTGAGTTTATGTTGCATGCTGGCCTAATGATGCAGCTCTTCATACAGCCCATAACAACTTTTACCTTTGACCACTTTGAATTATTGTTAATGTTGAGCAACGGAAATATTTCTGTTTAATATCAAGTAGGAAACAAATATCTGCAAATTCAATATAGTAGGATCACCGTCATCATTCTTCTAGTCCATACTGATCCAAGTGGCTATCTTCCAAAAGTTACCTCCAAAGGGGATTTCCTCTTGAAGTACATTAGGAAGGGATCTCTTAATGTCCACTTTGAACAGGAAGCAAAACCTGTTTCAAGGCCACTGATGCTATTTTAAAATTGATGTGGAAAAAACCTGCACTTATCTCTTAAAATTGTCGGTTTTAAGCTATTTTGGTGCAGTGTTTGGTAGGTTAGGTAATATAGTGTTGCAGGAAAATACATGATCTCCTAAGTGGTAGTTCTCTTGAAGACATGCTTTGATTCAGTTGCATGTATTTCCCCTCTTCTGTCACCGGCCTTTCACTGTGCTGCAACACCACTCACATTAATACCACACCCAGATGGTATCTTGACTGGTTTGACAACAATTCATACCTTACATGGGACTCACTCAGCTGCCAACCTGATCTCAACAAATACTTGGACAGGATAAAACAGTTTCAGCTACTTTACATAATACTGGTTCAACACACCTAACCTCTGTGTTGTTAATCTTTCCTTCATAGATATCTGATACTTTATGATATATTGTTGTATTTTCATCTTTACCACAAATATCATTGTTAACTACTTGCTTGGCTTTGACTGATGCTCAATTCTAGTATCTTTTCAAGACTATATTATTACATTACATTACATTACAGTCATTTAGCAGACGCTTTTATCCAAAGCGACTTACAATAAGTGTATTCAACATCGGTTTTCGAGAGAACAACTAGTCACCAGAAGTCATAAGTGCATCTCCTTTCTTCAAACAAGCATCTAAGAGCATAAACCAGAGCAAAAGTACAGTGCAGAAACAAATTATTGAATGCAATAAGTGCCACAAACTAATATGAATACAATAAGTGCAATAAGCTAGTATGAATACAATAGATGCTAAGAAAGTGCTAAGTGGAAGGCTCAGGGTAGGCCTTCTTGAAGAGGTGAGTTTTCAGCCTGCGCCGAAAGATGGGGAGTGACTCCGCTGTCCTGCTGTCAGTGGGGAGTTCATTCCACCACTGTGGGGCCAGGACAGAAAACAGCCGCGACCGGGTCGATCGGCCGCAGGGACCTCTGAGCGACGGGGCAAACAATCGCCCCGAGGCAGCAGAGCGAAGAGGTCGGGCGGGGGTGTAGGGCTTGACCATGGCCTGGAGATAGGAAGGAGCTGTTCCTTTCACTGCCCTGTAGGCTAGCACCAGAGTCTTAAACTGGATGCGAGCTCTTACAGGGAGCCAGTGTAGAGAACGGAGAAGGGAAGTTGTGTGGGAGAACTTGGGGCGATTGAACACCAGGCGAGCTGCAGCTTTCTGGACAAGCTCCAGAGGTCTGATGGCCGACGCCGGGGCTCCGGCAAGTAGTGAGTTGCAGTAGTCCAGGCGGGAGATGACCAGAGCCTGGATTAGCACCTGCGCCGTCTCGTCAGTGAGGAAGGGGCGAATCCTCCTGATGTTGTAGAGCAGGAATCTGCAGGAGCGTGTAACCGATGCAATGTTTGCTGAGAACGACAGTTGCTCATCCAGGGTCACACCCAGGATGACTGCCAATGAGAACACACACATTCATGAATTATACTGGAATTATACTGGAATTATACTGGAATTTAAAAAGTTTGTGATATGATTTACTATTCACAGGCCTGGAGAATGTTTTGCATTTATTTTCATATATTTTTTACAAACAGCCATGTCTGAGAAAATACCCCCACTCTCGTATTTACAGATGACTGAAAGAATGTAAGTACCGGTGCAGCACTTTTCATCTCTTTCGTTTGATATAGCTGTTGAAAAGAGAACCGATTGTTTGTGTTTGCAGGAGGATTATTGGCAGTATTACCAGCTTTAGAATGGACGGGAAATAACGAAACCATTGTGATATCAGTCTAGTTTTATAGCACTTGTGTGTCGAGTCTGGTAAATCATCATGTACAGTAGACAAGATATGCTGTTTGAAATCTTTCATATATTGTATGGACTGCATAGGGTCCCCATGTAGGCGCAGGAGGCAATGGGGATGTGGACATAGTGGACAAACAATCGCTTAATCTACAGATTGTCAGGTTCAATTAATTAATGCTACAGGTTTAGACTCAAACAGTATATGTTAAGAATAATGGGACATTAATTAAAGAGGATTTCAGCATAATATAAACCAAACAGTATTATGCACTCATATTCTCAAACTACCCAGCAAATAAAGTATATAAAGTAGTTAACATTGGCTCCACCTTAACCAGCTGAACGTGATGAACACATTAATGCATTAATCATTTAAATCCAATAGGCTGTACATCATTCTGAAATGGGCCATTCTGCATAATGATGAGACTTCTGACCTACTTTATACTTTTGGCCCTTTAAGTATATTTCGAATACTTTTGTACTTTTACTTAAGTAAACAGATTATGTCTACACTGTGGTATTGCTACATTTGCTTAAGTATAAGATGAGAACTTCTACCAGAGAATCACATTTGTTCATTTCCTGGTTTTACCGCCTTCACCCTCCGGTCTATAGGCGGCGGTAATAAGCCTGTGAGCTACCTTCCTGTCCAACGAAGAAGAAGAAGACGACGTGTTTGCTTGGCTGGTACCGCTGATGTTGATAACTGGAGGAAACAGTGAGTAAATATATATATTAACAATATGAGGGTTTGGTGAAACGTTCGTTCGTCTATTGCACGTTATTAGCCTCGACTGTGCGATAGAAAGCTTGCTCTGCGGTCACAGCGTGTCCAAATAAACGTTGTACCATTTCATTTTGTATCAGAGTAGTCTGAGCAATTAGCAACGTGCTCCGACCAAGTTGCTAAATTAAAGTTTAAATGTCAAACGTTGGCTGTAACAGCGGTTCAAGCTACAACGTTAGCCGAGGATGAATAACCTGCAGCAATGTGAAGCTTGTTGTAACTTACACCACATGAAGCTAAGTGTAACGTTAGCAGTATATCCAAACATCATGGCACACGAGTCTTTAAAATGCGCATGAGTTGCAGTATTAACGCCAAATCCCTTCAATGTTTTCTGATGCTGATGGTGTTAAACTTATGACCTTTATTGATAGGGTGGCCTGCTTCAGTTTAGTCAATTAGTAAGCAAGACAATGTCCAAAAACAAGCTCAAACAGTGAAGAATGTCCATCACAAGTTCCTAAAACACGAGGCTGAACTGTCTTAAAAGTTATTGAATTCATAATGTTATGAAACAGAGACAGCAGTAAACATGGGATAGAAGCTTCTTGATAAGTGACTAATACAATGAATCGATTACCAACATTATTTTCACATGTTATATCAATTTATTTTATGTCTATCCACTAAATGTTTGCATTGTTTTTGAGTGCTTCGAGGTAATGCATGCACATCCTAATATGATATCAAGGTTCCTCACTCTGGCATTCCAGATGTTCCCCAAAAGACAACTTATTAATTACAATGACATTTGACATATTCAGTGTGGGGGCATCTTGTGCTCTTGGGATTGTAATCATAGTGCATTCATCGCTTGTAATTGATTTAATCGAATCACAAAAATGCTAAATCTTTAATTATTATTTATATTTATTCGTCATCTGTGTGAATGGTCTATACGCCAAATGAATGTGTTTAGAGTAGGCATTATGCCTGGTTAGTTTTGATAATTTGTGTTTTATTTTTAATTGGCAGAAAGACTCAAGATGGCGATGCCGGTGTCTGTGCTCCGCCTGCCGAAAGGACCCGACCCCAACAGCCGCGGATTTGACCCCAAATCCCCCCGTTTCATCGCTCTCTGTCGAACCTCCATCCCCTGTTCTGACGCAGATGCTGAGCAGCTGCCCAGAGAGCAGCACGCCCGATCCGTGCTGAGAGAGAGTTTCCTCCGGTGTCTCCTGGCCATGGCCAATAAGAAGATTCAGTTTCAGATGCACGAGCGGGTGAATGTGGAGGCCACGTTTAGAGCGTCCGACATCGACGTGCTGAACTTTCAGGTGTCGGACCTGCACACTCCCATCGGGGTGCAAAAAGAGGCTCTGATCAGGTGTCAGGATGTGATTTCATTCACTTTTGATGCGTGAACACTTGTTTTGTTTCCTGTTTAAACAGAATACGCCATTTGGGATGAGAGGCACTTGGGAGTCTCGTTTGTTGTTGCAAGTGAGCTCTGTTTTCACACTGTGAGATAGTTTATACAATGTGTTGTATTTTTTTAAGGTGAGGTTGTACATAGCTGTTTTCAATCTGTATACTTCAGTCGATCATACTGCTCTGTGAGATTGCTTTCAGACGCTGACGAGCAGTCCCACTGTTTAGCACAAGAGGGAGTCATAAGCCTGTGTATTCAGTGAGACGTGACGGAGAGATACTTTCTGTAGAGCGTCATCGCTACCGTCTTACTTTTTGAGATGCAGAAAGAGGATGTTACTGTGCTCGAGTTGACATGTTATGTCTTTTGTCATATTCTTTAACTGATGCAAATGAAACATTGCACACTTAACATTTGTTTTGAGTGGAACACTTTTCTATTTTAATGTCTATTTTGTATTTTTTTTTGTTTGGAAAAATATTCAAGACACCTGAAAAGATTCATGTCTGATAAAGATTGATGTTGCTTAAGGAAATAAGTTGTAACTGACATGTGTAACCCCCCCACATCCATCAAAACAATATCGTTTTTCATAATCACCTTAAAAACAAAAGGTTTTGTTGTCGAGAGCAAAGTGAGTTGTCCTCTCTGCACTGCTTGGTGATAGTTGTCCATAACTCTAGTCTAGTCTATCTTTGTCAACACTATCATCAGTGTGTTGGGTCTTTATTTTATCAAACTCAGTCAGGTCCACATTTATAGTTGCAATTATCAGTCGGGGAAATAAATCTGCAACAATTTTGATAATTAATTGTTTGCATCACTTTTCAAGTAAATTATGGTAATTTTTCGTTGTCCTGTGGTGTCTGATGGACCTAATTGGCAATTAAAAGAAATGATCTGTAGATTAATGGATAATGAGTATAATTATTGAATGCAACCCTGTTCACAGTAATGGCAGATTTAGCATCTATGTAGTCGTAGTTTTGCATCTCTTTGTAGTCATTTTGCATCTTGTTGCGCCCCCTTGAGGTAGTTGTGCATTACTTTGTGGTCATCTCATGTGTCTCTTTGTGGCCGTTTTGTATCTTGTTTTATAAGGGTTTTGTGTCTTTCTATAACTGTTTTGCATCGAGTCCCTTTAAACAGATGTTCAGGCATAGGTGCCACAGGGCCTGTGTCCAGTAGGCCTATTCAGTACTCCATACATGAATACAGAACTTAAGTAAATTCTGAGCCGGAGAACACCAGAAGGAGCTATAACTTAGCTTTGTTGTTTTCAGTCACCGATCTGAAACATTTACAGAGTGGGATATTAAAATATACTGAAGTCCGAGATGGATCGGGTGAATTCGCATCATTCTTCCTGAATGTCTCGGTAATCCAACACAAACTGAGCCCACGTCTGATGGCAGCACAGATATTCATTATAGTCACTTATTTAGATCCTTGGTCATAAATAATACGGAAGAGCAGGATTCTTCATTGTTTAGCACCGGCCTCATGGGGAGGAGGAGCGGGCATCAATACTATTTAATCTTACTAAAAGGTGTATTTTGCGAGTTCCCAATAAGTCATTTTATTTGAGTGCCATTAGGCGGGCGTGCTGTGCCTGTGTCTCTTTTTGTACCTGAATTATCTGACCACTCAGTGGAGACAGTCATCAATGAGTCAGTGACTCATCCTCTCTCTCTCCCTCGCCCTCCCTAATCCGAAATATGACTTAAACCTTACATGACGTCATCGAGCCTGTGTGATTCAATCAGAAAGCCCTCAAGGACAACCAATGTTAATTTCATATACACAAGCCTGCTCCCTCAGTTCTCACTCTCACCTCTGTGATGAGAACACATACTGTACATAAACATATGCATTTCCATAACTTTTGTTTTGTACTTGTACAGTAAGTATGTTACAGACTACATCTTTACTCAACTTAACACAACCAGCTAATAAAATATGATGAATCGTGAAGATGAAACTGCCCAACTGTACATAAAGTAGTTAAAATGAGTTCCCCTTAAAGCAGCTACACCATTAAGTCCCTTGCAGTCTAATTAAGTGCTTTTACATTGTCGTATTACTATTCTTACTGAAGTAGATCTGGATCTGAATTTGAAGAAAGGACAGAGAGGGGCAGGGTGTGAAGTTAACTTATTTATTTAATCAGTAGTGATGATTTTTGAGTTAAGATTTAGACATTATATTCCAATCTGGCCATCATAATGTCCAAATTTCTGATTTTATGATGTTGGCCAAATGCTGCCATAATATTGGACTCATTGGCTCATATTGCGTCATCTGTAAAGCTGCTAATCAATATGATTTATAGTAACAATGGATGAGGTGACTGCATAATGTGAAAGGGGTCTTTCCTAGTGATTAATACGAGTATTATACAATACATCAACAGCTAGAGTGTCTTAGCATCTTTCAGCTCATTGCTTTGGTTTTACTGTGTTGTGTTTAAGTAAACCACAGATCGCTTTGCTTCTGTTGTAGAGAAATTACATGATAAAGATATGAGCGGTTTAGTGAGAATATATATATGTTTTAAAAGTGGATCGGCCATAAGAATGATCTCCTCTGAAGAGCTCGAGCTGGATTCATGTTCTCTAATTTGTACCCGGGCCCGGGGACACACTGTCTCAGTGTTATCTACTCTTACTGTTTGTCTTTCCTGACAGTCTGCTTCTCCCCGATTCCAGTGGAAAAACATTCCTACCTCTTAGTATGCATGTGTGTTTGTGTGTGCGTGTGTTGGTTGTGTCAGTTATGATGGTCCAAGGAATCTGCCCTGTACAACAGCACTGGCCAACAGGAAGCACATTCCGCTTCTTCCTGTTTGTGGCCCTCTCTCACTTCCTGGTGAGTGTCTGATAACTTACAAAACCACTTAATCACCCTTTTGCTTAAAACTACCAGCAGATTAAAATAGTTGGGCGGTGAAATCATGATCATGTATTTTTATTATGTTTCACAATGGACACGAGGGAGGAGATGATGATTCACTTGATAATATACAATTTTTGTGGAAGTGTCAACTCTGGTATTATTGTATCAGACTGAACACAAAAGATGCCATCATTAAAAAAAACAGAGCAAAGGGAGGCTGCACACATTTATAAATATGAATCAAGCGGTGAGACGAGTCAGTGAAACTGCTTCTCTGCTGGCTCATTATGAAACTAAAGTAAAACAGTGACAGAATGGCTCTGCCTGCTGATAATTTTACTTTAATTCCACCTTTAAATAACATTTTTGTAGGCTTGTCTTTTTTTGCTTATTTCCAGCTTTAATTCAATGTTTTTTCTTTTCTCTTCTGTGCATTTTATTGTTAGCCTCACAGCGTGGCTCTAAGCAACCCCATGTCCTACTAAATGATGTTCTCATACAACTGAACTGCATTCTCTATTACGTTAAGAGGGAAACATATGTTCTCCCAGATTACGGTTGAAGCTTTAAACACATGGTTAGCATTGTAAATTAAACCTAAAGAAAAACACAAGAAACGTACTTGGTTATGTTTAGGTAAAAAAAAACTCAAACTTAGTTTAGTGAAATCATCGTGGTTTGGCTTAAAATTGATTTATGGTTTGACACAAACAGCAGTCTCCTGGTTGAAGGTCCTGTGTTTGTTCGACCCACCCGTCCATCTAATGTCCTCCATACACAGACTTCCGCGGACTATAATTAGAACATATTTGTGAGTCATGGGACCTACGTCACAAACAAAAGTAGCTAATCCGGTAGAAAATGTGTTTCCTTCAAGACGTCGCAGTGCAGTTTCGTTGTATGGGAATGTTATTATTAGGAGACCAGACTGCTCTAGGGATAGCAATGACCGTCGGTTGGTCCTTTGCCCAGACTGAAATACCTCAACAAATATTGGTGGATCGTCATGAAATTTTGTTGAGACATTTGAGGGTGAATCTTTCAAATTTTCAATTACCCTTTAAAACATCTCAAAATGTATTAAATGTATTGACACATTTGGTACAGGCATTCATGGGTCCTAGGTACAGTATTTTGATGACTTCGCCTATAGTGCAGTCATTAGTACTTTGGTTTATGACCAAATACCTGCAAAACCATCCCCATGTACTGTACCATCAACAGCATGTCAATATTGTCATTGTGAGCTGGTTCTAGACCCATTTCCTATATAGTGCATTACATTAATGTACAGCCATTTTATTTTAGCGTCTGAACTCTTAAATGTGAATTTCATGCACTATATAGTACACTAGCTTGATGCGATGTGTCCTTGGGCAAGACACTTAACCCCAAATTGCTCCCAAATACTGTGTCTTGGTGTATATTTGGGTATGAGTGTTAGCTAGTCCTGATGGGCAGGTGGCACCTTGCATGGTTGGAAGACTAGAAAAGCACTTTACAAGTACAAGTCCATGTAGCATTTACCCTCATAAATGTTCACAATGGAAAGAAAACTGCTGACAATCCCACAATGTAATGAGTACTTTTAACTGTGTGTACTATAGGGAATAGTGAATCGGTCCATGAGGGAGTGTTTTTGGAACTTTAGTCTGTTTTTGTATCATAATTTGTATCTCTTCATTATGTGTAGTCGTTGTAACTATTATTATTATATACAGAAGTATTGTGTAAAATCATCAGTCATGAATAATCATAATTAATAAGAACACACCCCATCTACATCACTGCATACAGTACAATCATTAATTAATGTGTTTCTCTAAGTACGACTACATGGTGATATTTACGGTTAAGTGCTCACTGGAGGTAGCGAGACAAGCAGACACGAGAGGAATGGCTGAGTCACCGTCAGTCCCCAGCTTTGTTTGAGTTGCCACCGGGGGGGAATGTTGGAGGAGCTCCAGCGATTGTGAGGACCAGGCGCTGTGTGGCAGCCTCACTTCCCCGACTCAAGTGGCCAGAGAGATAAAGAGGCTGGCAGGGGAGCATGCCAGCTGGACCCCACTGAGCACCGGCCCAAACACAAACAAAGGTTTAAGGTCAATATAATGTTAATTTACCATTATCATTTACCATATTCAGCTGGTTTTGCATAAAGTTGCCAATTGTTTCACTAGAGTGCTTTTAGGCAACTTAGAGAAATCAAAGCATTGGTTTTCTTGGTCAGATATTTAGTATGTCAGTCACATTATGACCCGCAACCCTGTGAGGTCAGTGAATGCTACTGTAAATGTCCAATTTAAAGAGACAAATGATCATCGGGGAAAAGGGGGACACATTTGCACAACTGATGTCTAGACAGGAAGATATGTGAGGAGGTGGGAGGAGAAGGGAAGTGCTCATTAGGAGTGAGATTAAAGTTATCTTCATTTATCTATAAGTCTGTAGACTCCATCGTGGTCCACTCCCTTTCCCACAGGAGTAAACACAGGAAGATGATGCTAATTAGTGTCTGTGATGCTGAAGACCCAACGATTTCATCACAGATAAATTCACCATCTGTGACCATTTATCCTGACCAATCAGAAGTGGCAGGGCGGAACTTCTGCTGACTGGTTTGTGAGTCAAACTGTGGGATAGTGCGTCAAATGTGTATCATGTGTTTTACACAAATGCAAAATTAGTGAATAATGTTTGCAGCCTGAGCTGTACTTTGTGTTTAGTGCTGTTTAGCAAATCTTAGCATGTTGACTCGCTTTACTACACTGTGAGCATAAACATGCTTACAGGACTGTGCCTACGCAAGTATTATGTATTCGTTATTTACTGATTCTGATTCATAAAACTACTTCCTGCCTCACCTCTAAAACATAATTTGAATCACAAATTGCACAGAGACTGAAGAACCACTGGTCAGCCAGTGCCTGTTGCCAAAGCAGTTTCTTTTTCAGTGCTACAATCCTTTAATCGGACAAAAATAGGAAGTAGCCATGTGGTATTTGAGAAGTGGTTTCCTG